CATATTAAAGACGAATTCATAATAAATACAAATACAAAATACAAAGGCATTGCCATGGTCATATCTTTGGTAATAATCTGCCTGCTTGCTGAGACTTCCTGCCTATAGATAAGAACTCTTTATGCTGGGAATCGGAATTTAGCTTGCGATTTCCCAAGAATGTATATAAAAGATATATTGCATTTTTATACCCGTTACAGATTTTTTAAAACTGTAAATGACAAATAAATAAACAATTTAATCTAAACTGTAAGTTGACTTTCCGAATGTCCTTAAAAATAATATATATTTCATTTAGACCACCCCGAGAACTATGAAAATGCTGTAAAATTATCCAGTTAATTATAAAGCTAAAACTTAAAACCCTTTTAAAATGCACGAAATGCTGTCATCCCGGAAAATCCGAATGGAAAATGTCAGACAAAAAATACCTGCATACGCTTTTCTTTGTTTTTCGGTATGAAAACTGTCCGAATTTCCGGATAACCGACATGCAACGTGCCTTAATGAGGGGGAAAATGGGCAAATAGCTTCTCAAATTACTGGGAGCTGTCCGAAAAGCCAGTCTTTTTTGACTGAAGCCTAATTAGTAATTGGGTTCTTGGGACCAGCAACAAACCAAAAAAAAAAGCGAAGCCTTTAAATTAATGCCGAATGCTTTTTAAGTTTAATTAGCCCCAGTTTATCAGCCATTATCTTCCTTTGGGGCTCAATTCAGTTTCAGTTTTTTCTATAAATAAGCATAAATCTTTAAGGTCAATTCTCGGCGGACTTGTTGCCAACTAATTTCGAGGCGCCGAGCCGTTCAATTACAAAAGTTTCGCCAGCCAAGTTAATAACATTTATCGCTACCCATAAAACATATCCTGTTCGCTGTGTGTGTGTGGGTATTTTTGGATCTGGGAAATGGGAAATGCACTGAGAAAACTTGAGAACGAAAAAATCAAGAACGAATGTTCTTGATTTCAGTATTTTGTCTTCTCACTTTTTTTAGCACAAACGTTCTTGAAATCAAGAATAAAACCATTCTTGATCTGGCTTTTTGAGAATACATCGTTCTCGATTTCGTTTATCAAGCATGAACGTTATTGAAATCGTCCCCAAGCATTCTTAAAATCGTTCTCAACTTCGTCTCAGAGATGAAAAAAAATGAGAGAGATAAAAAATGAGAGAGATAAAAAATGAGAGAGACATTCTCTCTGGAATTTTTCGGCAAGCTACCGAAGTTCACTTCGGCTCTCGTCAAATGCTCGTTTTTTTCGGCCAGTGAAGCGGAGTACGCACGCGGACGACACACGTTTAAAGAACCTTCCAGAGGAACTAGATATTTGGAGTGCGCTCCCCTTCCTCAAACGTAAGTATTAATAAATACCTTAGTGTAATAATAAAAATAAGCTATATAATAAATAAATACTTCGAATTTGTATGTTTGTGAAAAAAAGTGACGCCACGCTAAATGCATCTATGTATGTATACATCATATGTGTGTTTATGCAGGAGCGTGCTTGCGCTTGTAAGGTTCTGTTCTAAAAAAGTAATATGAAATAATACTTTAACTATTTTTAGGCGCTGGAGTGTCTTCATGGACAAGGAGATCAATGAGGCGATTCCGCCAATTGGTTTACGTATTGTGTTCCGGGAGAAGCTGTTCGCAAAACTCGAAAGTATGTATATATATAAATAATATACAATTTGTATTATTTATTGTTATTTAAACTATATATAAATTTTGCAGTTTGTGGGACGTAATCAGGCAAAGAGCGAGAAACAAACATCGCTGATTGGTATCGATCCACCTAGAGGAGGTAGCACGCTTGGCAAGGTACATTTTAAAATTATAAAACTTTATATTTATTGTACGTTTTATGTATGTTACTTAAATTTATTCGTACTTACTTAATAATGATAAGATTGCTGTTAGACTTAAATATGTTTAGTTATAAGTAATTTGTAACTGTGTTATATCTATAATAATAAATAGAAAATTAATATAATAAAAAAAAGTGAATATATGAAATTTTTAATTTTTCTGAAAAATTCCTTTTTGGATCAAGAGTGGAACATTCTTGAAATCGAGAACGCCTATTCTTGAAATCAAGAACGCCTATGCTTGAATCCAAGAATTTGTCTTCTTGAAACCAAGAATACGTTCTTCTTGGTAAGAGAGAAATTATTAAACCCGAGAACGATTTACTCTTGGAACCAAGAACGCCTATTCTTGAAACCAAGAACTCCTATGCTTGAATCCAAGAATGTTTCTTCTTGAATCCAAGAAGACTCATACTGAAATCAAGAATACTTATTTTCAAAAAAGTAGTCTCAAATCAAGAACACTCGTTCTTGATTTTAGTAAAACCGTTCTTGGCTCACTTTTGAGCACGGAAATACTGAAATCAAGAACGTTGAGAACGGTTTTTTTTCTCGGTGTGGGGTTGTGTAAAAGTTACTGCAACAAGTTTAACCTTTTTTTCCGGTTCGGCAAGGCGACTTCCTTGGCCTTGCTTGGCGCTTCCGGTTTCCCGACCAGCGAGCCAACATTGACTTATTCGCCGCACAAATTGAACGCACACGACGGCGCACTGAGAGAAAAAATTTGACTTTTTCAAAATTGGCTCAGCTATTTAAGTGTATTTACTGTGTAAAAAAGAATACAAATGGCTGGCCATTACATCATCTAGAATTTCTTATTAGGAAATCATAAATAATATTATTACTTTTAATTTTTTTTAATACAATTTCCGAAAAAATATTTTCATGAAATCAAAATTAGATTTAAGCCTTACCTAATTTCGGTTATTTTTCGAAGAATACGATTTTACCCGAAATCCGACCTCTAATTATTACAATAAAAATATTATTAAAAAAAAAATGATTTTTTTTTCGAATATAATCATTTTTGTTTTTAAATATATTTTACATAAACTTTTTTTTTAATTCTTACCATTACAAGCTACTTTTTTTTCTGCATATCGACGCCAACAGCTCACTTTGCCTAATAGTTTAGCAATCGCTTTAAGTACTTGAGCGGTCTGTGCCACTGAGCACTTGAGTGGTTCCAGGAAGGTACCAGGACCTTCCTTCCAGGAGCTGTTGACACACTCAGCCCGGCCATGTCTCCCAGGAAACCGCGGCAATCTCACGAAATGCATTGCTCAAATTGCATTGCAATTTAACGCCGACCTCTGCTTCATTTCCCTTTTCCCCGGAAACCGTTTGACATTCGATAACTCAGAAATGGCATTAGTTTAATCTCTTCCGATCAAAATGTCCGCTTCTCATTTCCCCAAGGCGAAAAGTTGTCTTGGTCAAAGAGAAATCTTTACGTTTAACGACTAGAATCTGGATTCTGGGATTGTGTTCTTAAATTCTGGCAGAGAATAATACTAATATCGCTTATTAGAGCTATTTTGGGTGCGATTCTTAAAGAATATTCCATGTTTTATATATAGTTTCCCCTAAACACGTTTAATTTATTGGCTTCCCACCATCAATATAGCCCTTATCAATGCGATACTAAAGCATCCAGTTAGAGCCCATAAATAATGCCAGACATTCGCTAGTCAGTCGACCCATAAATAAAGTGCAAAGTCCCGAGTATTTCTGCGCTCGGAAAATCTTTGGCCCTCCGTCGAGTTTACAACTCAACTTGAGTTGAAAAATGGCTGAAATATTTGGCGTCTAACGGTGTTTTAAAGAGCCCGCAACGGTATGCAAATGGTTGGGGGATGGTGAAGAGCACCTCGAGCAGGTGGAAAAATAAGAAAAAAAATACGAAAAAATACAAAAATAAATGCGAAGGAGAAAAAATCGCATGCCTATGCATCGTTCCATTCTGTTTTATGGCTCATAAACTTTCGCTCCTTGGTGAGAGCTTTTTGCCCTTTTTTTTATGCCCGAACGTTGAATAAAAAACTGATTTGTTTTGCGCCCCTTCCATCCAGCCATTCAACGTTTGATGTTGCCGGCTGTTTTGCCTGATTTCAGCCATTTGTTGCCACCAAAATGCGGCTCAGTTTTCCTCGGCCTTTTCCCGTTCCCCCTTCCCTTTTCCGGGGCTAACATATGGCACTCACTTCGGCTCACAATCAACATCATCATCAGCGTCATCATTACGCTGACGAGTTGTTAATGATGAACATAATGACGACACGGAGCGCTTTGGGCCAACAAAGTTGTTAACATAAAATGGCTCGCTGCACACATGTACACCCGCAATTTGCTCAGATTTCCCAAGTATTTACAGTGCCGAGTGTGTGTGTGTGTTTAACCACTTTCACCTTTTATAGTCCGCATCTGTCACTGCAGTCGTTTTTCACCTGTGAAAAATGCGAAGGGCAGGCAAATAAGAGCGAAAACGAAACGGAACGAGAAACGCACGTGGAAAAACGAATGGAGATTTCCAGCGTAAACAGTTTAATCGGCTTTATGTGAATTTTATTTTAAAATGCATGAGTGTATTTTAAATGCAGAGCCACTTATCTTGTAGCTCTCACTGAAAATCTGAATGTTCTATTATCCTTTTAAAAAATTAAAGGTCAAAATGTGCTGGCTTGAACGAGATTTCCAATAAAATAATTCTATAAAACTCTTAGTTAATGAATATACTTAATTATCTTACCTTTGAAAATAAATATACCTTCTCATCTTACCTTCAAAACGGCCATCAATCAATCGATAAAAGTAAGCAAATCATTTTTCACTCTGCACCACATTTTCGGCGAAAACTTGCAGTCAAAAAAAAAGGAAAATAAAATGTGAAAATTTCATTAGATTTTGCATTTGAAGAAGGCTGAATAAAAAAACGAAATTGAGGGGTTGTTTGTGGGACTCAGCCTCAAACTTTGCGACTGCCGGGGAATTGGGTAAACTTTTCATGTTTTTCTCCCTGGATTTTTCCAGTTTTCGGGGGGCCGCGGGCGATGGATGATTCTGATTTTGATTTGGCCCATGTTGCTGTGGGTTACTTTTTGGTTTCTGGCAAACACCAACCGGTCGTATGCGCAATGTAAACAGCAAGGATTTCCCATGATGAAAAGCAGGCTTGCTAGCCGCCGTCCACATCAGATTCTCTGTACTTTTGAAATAGAAATAAAAATTTAAAAAAAAACAGAAATGCCCGTTTTAAAGCTAGCCACTTTCTATACCCAATTCTTTCCCTCGGAGCGAGTGCGTTGCAGGGAGCTGAAGCGCAGGAGGCAGCTGATGAGGTTACTGGAGGAGCGAAAGTTGGAAATAGAGAACCAAGCTCAGCCGAAGTGCCCCAAGGAACCCGCGAACTTTGAACTCCAGTCGAAGCATGTGATTGGCAGCTTTCAGCTGAGGTTCGAGCGAGATCCGCTGAGCGAGAGGCTGGAGATCACGGCCACGCTGCCCAGCCCGCGACTTCCGCCGGAAACGGAACCGGAGCCGCAGGACGAGCTGCTCTACGAGCTGTACGTGTGCAGCAGCCAGGGTCGCCTGCTGGCCAGGATTCCCTTCCTGGAGAGCGACTACCGACGTGCCGCCCACAGGGCCATCAATTGCATGTCCATCTAGTGCGGAAAAAGAACCCTCCACATTCATCCTCGCTTTGAGTATCGATTACCTGTTACAGCGCCATCCTCAGCTCCACCTCCTTAATTGGAAGCCGGATCGTAAATTAACCGAGAGCTGCAAACCTGTAAACTGATCTTTGGGCCTCAATAAATTTAATGTAACTGTATGCCCTTTAGTGGTTCTTGTGGACGGCAGTACACGTAGATTTTTGTTTTTTTTTTCATTTAACGTAATTACATTAGCTTTATACATAATAATAATAATATTAATTTTATTATGTCTTAAACTTGTCAAAGTAAATTAATAATTAAAAGAAGAATTATGGAAATAAATTAAATATTGGAATGGAAAATATGTTAGCCCATTTATTGCTCTTGAAAAAGTTCCGAATAATCTAATACACAAGTCAAAATAAATAATATTTACCGTGACACATATTTTCCTTAAAGAAAAATCCAAATATATTTAATACATATTCTTCTCCTAAAAAGCCAACTTCATTTGCCAAGCTCTTTAATGCAGTAAAATAAAATAAATAAACACAAACCCAAGTTATTGACATGAAATTAGCAATCAGAGCAATGCAAACTTTTGCTTTCAATCAATGTTGGTTTTACTTGGCTTTGCAATTTAAATTCACATTTTCAAACACGAATTTTTCGGATATCCTTAAAATCACTAAGATAAATTTTAGCTTTGAACTCTTTAAAGAGAGGGAATGACTGAAAGCCCGCAGTTCTTTTTTTAATATTTAAATGTTGCCGTTGCCCTGCTCTGAAATATTAATGGTGCTTTTTCCGCCTCATCTCATCCCCGGCAAAGGCTGTGAAAAATCAACAAATCCAAAATGTAAAGTCATAAGATAAACCACTTTAATAATCCCTCGTAAGCGATAATTGCAATTGGACAGGGTCTGCGGTTGCTGAGTCGAAAATAAAAAATAAAAGGGGGACCGGAGGACGCCAATAATTCCGGCCATATATCCACTTACCACGCACTCGCACAGACACATATGCAAATGCTTGTGTATCCTGCGTATAAGACGAGAGGACCCCAAAGAACATGCTATCAATTTTATTTTTATTTATTTTACTCCCCGTCCACGCGCCCATTTTGCCTCGCATTTGTTTGCTCTTGGCTCAGGCTGAGCATATTTTGTAGCTCGTAAAAGTTTTTGATATAAAATGTAAACAAAGGCGAAATGGGACACGGGGAACAGAGCACACAGCCGCCAAATACTGGGAAAAATTTGAGAAATAAAATTAAATTATTTATAACTAAACAGTTGGTGGTAAAACTGAAATATTAAAAAAATGTATAATATAAAATTACATTTTTAAAAATATTTACAAACACTTTGCGTAAATTTCTCTTAATATTTTGTTACATTCAATCATTCAACTTGAGCTACTTTTCTCGCAGTGCTGGCAACTCAAAATTATGGCGCGTTTTGTAACCAGCAAAAGGCCAAAACGAGTTTCGTCTTTCGGCTGCTTGTTTTTGTTGCGGCTTCTGCTTTTCCCCCTTTTCCGTTTCCCTTTTCCGCCATTTTGAACCGCCATTGTGGGAGGGTGTGTGTGTGTGAGAGTGTCGGTGTGTGTGTGTAAAAGAGCGTGCCCAACGAGCCCTTTCCTTTCAATGCTCGATGCTCACGCACTTGCACATATTAATTAAAAAGTTCAGGGTCAGGCCAAGAGACAGACATCAGCTGGCCGAACAACCGAACAAGGGCCAAAACGAACGAAAAAAAGTAAACGATGGTCAAAAGGGGGCGAATTTGGGGCCGAAAGGGGGAGCTATTTTTAGTCTGCCCCGGCAATGTTAGTCAAAAATTTCTGCGTTGCTCCTGCATAATTTGTTTACTCTTCTGGTTCGGTTCGTGGCCCTTCGCTTTTGCTACCCTGTAACCTTTTAACAGAATATTACAAGTCTTACCCAAATAGATCATTGTAAAAAAATTAAATACAAAATATATTAATGGAATTTCATGAAAAATTCAAAACTGCATAGAAAAAGGTTTTGTGATTTTAATTTCAAATATAAAAAATATAATATTAAAATGGGACTTAAAGGAATGTCATTTCTTGTATTAACAAAAACCCAAATTATTATATTTCGGGGATTTATTTAAATATTAGTGGGAAAATAATAATAGAAATTCCCCTAACATTTTCTTTGACATAATAATTTAAGACAGCTTAATAAACAATATTTGTGATTATTTTTTGTACCCAAAGGAAGTACAGACGGGGTATTAGCAGTCGAAATACAAGAGAAATTTTCAAAAAAGCCACTCTACACTAGTTGACTTGCCATTTATCAAGAACAGGTCTCCTGCAGGACTTTCCCCAGGCCACAAAAGGAAAAATATGAACAACCAGCGAAAGCTGAAAACAAAAGCGGGTGGCACACACACGCCCTCTATGGGGAAAAATGGGGGAGGTCCTTGCGGGTCACGGAAACTGTGCGTAACTATAATTAATTTCATTTTAGACTGGTTAGCAAATAAACGAGCAAACGATGCGGTTCGTTCGCTGGCTGCTTGCTTGGCTCTTCGCCTCACCTCTCACCTCTCCACCGAACGAAGAGCCACCAAAAAACCCACCCACTCACCCAGCCATCGGCTCGTTTTTGGCCAGTTGAGACACTATTTTTGACATCGTCCTTGTTGCCATGTTGTTGGTTCTGCACTTTGCCAGCACTTGACTGCCCAACTTTCGGCCCTGTGCCACCTAAACCACCCCCAAACCTCCCCAAAACCACCCAGACCACCGCCCACTTGTAGTATAACTGTTGCTCATGTTGCTGGATTTCATTTCGAGTCGCTTGTCGAGCGTTGAAGTCCTTTGAAGGACCCGAACCGAACCGAACCGGACCGAACCGACGCTCAACCCTTATCAAAAATTCAACGGCATGATTTTATATCCCCGAAATTATTGATTCAACTTGAATGCCGAATCATTCCGGATCCGCAAAAAAAATAAGAGTTATCCCCCAGCCTAATCGCCTGGAACTCATTAACTTTCGTTCGCTGCTAAAATTTTTGTTTATATTTGCTAGCAAATTTCCCCTTTTTGGGGAATTTAATTGTGTCCTTTCGCCCAAGGACACTCGAGAAATTGAAACTGTAAGTCATAAAATGTAGCAATGCAAATTGGAATCAAATAAAATCTTCTTTAAAATTATATTATTCCGTTTAAGTTCAAGAAAAAAATATTTAGATCTTCAGCTCTAAACAGCCATGATAATAAATATAAAAAACGCATTCTAGTAACAACGCAAAAAATAAATTTAACTAGCCAGAAAATTGGTTAAAAATGCATAAAATTATTATGCGAAATTTGTCCAAACTTCGTTTGCTAAGAACTTTCATCATAAAAAAGACTCTAAAAATGTTTTGCAACTTTCCCAGACTGACATTTAAGATGGAACGTTCTTTGCTTTGGCCCGAAACAAAGGAACAACGTTAAACTAAAACAAGAGACTCATAAAGTTTGTTTATTACAATTTAAAATTGTTTTTTTTTTTCAAACATTTTTTGGTAAATTTCTTTTTTTTTTGTAAATAAGGATAAATGTTTTATGATATTTTTGGGCTCTCTTGTTGAAAATGATTCGTAAAATTCGTACATTTTATTTCTTATTTATTATTATTTAAATCCAATAGAAAAAGAGGTTTAACTTAATTAAAATTGATAAATTGAAATTTAAATGCAATAATATTAATTTATTTGCTCCAACTTTAGTTTCCAATACATTGTTATTTCAAGTATTAAGAGAGAGCCAGTGACCTTGGTTAAATAAATAAAAATGCCGTAGCCCGTGATCCGAAGCTGCGCCACAGTTGGTTGGGCCGTAAGTCATGCCGAGATCCCGAGATGATTCCATCAAATATGCATGGCCCATCATCATCATCATCATTGGATATCCCGATATCCCGGCAGCCAGGGCCGAGCTGTCCATTTGAATTATGCATGCATAGACAGCAGTAGCGGGCGGAAAAGCTGGTGGGGAAAATGGTGAGGAAAATGGGGTGGAAAAGCTGGTGGAAAAGGGGTTGTCAGCGCCAGGAAAGCGCAGCATGGCGCCTGCCAAGGAAATTAGATTTTCCACCAACAATGCCCCCTTGGTGTGCCATTCTATCTGTGTGTGTGTGAGTGTTAGCCAGTTGGACAAAACGGCTTAAGTGTTTTTGCCAGCGCCTTTTCACCCGATTTGCATAATGGTCGCCGCGGTCGCCTGAAAAGTATGCTACAACTTTTTATCAACTTTGTCAGCGGAAATTATGCTCAGCACGAGTCGGTGTGTTAGTGTGTTAAAGTGTGTGTGTGCTGGTGCTGCTCACCCACACACACAAGCACCGGTCAGTTACGGTTCAATATCGCAAATGATATATGTATATGTGCGAGTGGCCCCTATAAAAATCGCTTTAATTATTTATTTATTCAAATGGTTGGCCAGGCTTCTAAGCCGAAAAGCCTTCTACAAAGAAAATGGTGAAAAGACAAGGGGGAAAAGGGGCAAGCCAGGGAAAACCAAGGAAAAGGCAATGGCAAGGACGGAGGAAAAGCATTTTTCCAACTTTCCCCAAACGTTTCCTGCAAGAAATTGAAAGTGGCACGCGCAAATTACTTAATCCTACTTTCCAAGTACTTACTGCATATATATTTGTACAGTGAGCTCTCGATAACGAAAGACAAACATACTAAGAATATATTTATTTATGAAATTAATTTACTCTAAGGCTCTATGTATTTTTATCTTAAATTAGACAATTTCTATCACTACAGAAAGTAATAAATATAATAAAATGTCACACAACAGAGCGTTCACTGTTTTGTGTACACACAAAATGTACAGGCTAGGGCGGTAAATGCCTACACGTACTTTCTGGGTCCTTTGATCTAATTTACCAAGCATTTTCAGGTATTTCAACTTTGAATGCCAAAAACGAAACCCAAGATGACAACAACAAGGGCCCACAAAAAATGCCAAAAAGAGAAAA